ATTTTTAAATTCCCGTAACATAATTAACCATTTTAAAAACGAACAATACAGCAATTCATACATTTGCAATGTTGCGCAACCACCACCTCTATCTAATTCCAAGATATTTTCAACACCCCCCAAAAGGAAACCCCGAACACCTCCAAAGGGCTACAAAAAGCGGTCCAGTTATTGTTGCTGATTCTCAGCATGGATGGAGGTTTTTCCTTGCTGGAAAGCTATAGCGTAATGATTAAAAAAAAATTGCTCAGTTTTGTATTCCCGATTTTGGGAATCTCGTTTTTGTCTCTCCAGGAAGAGGAATACAGAATCTTACCAGTACCGTGATTCAAGATCTCTGCCAGACGCGCACACCTCCCTGCAGAGGCCGTCGGGTGAGAGCGCGCTCGAACCTGAGCGCCCGCTCAATGCGCTCCAGGAACAACAGCCAGAGTCCAATATGGCCGGATGGAGAGTGAGGGGGAGGGTCCCCAGGAGAGTGAGAACTCAGAGCGCGGGCTCAGCCTCCAGCCATAAAGCCTTGCAAGGCGCTGGGAGAATTTGAGCGCTTGCATGCAGGAGACGGGGCGCTCTTAAAGCGCTGAGTAACGGACGGACAAAAATGATGTTCTTTAAAGAATTACTGTCTATGCAAACAGAAAAATCGTACCTTTACAATGGAGAAACCGGGCAGATAGCACCTTCACCAAGTGAATCAAGGACGACGTCACCAATGACGCCATGTGGATACCGTGTACCACCCGATACGAGGCACACGGTATGCATCCAACACGATTTCATATGGAGTCTCCACAAAATGAAAGCTCGCACCACAAATACTATTTTTTTTTTACCACAAATACTATTTATGAATGCATGGAGTGGTGGAAAAACATTAAATTAATAATTCAGGATAATAGTTTCCTGTGGCGCGGAGGGGGGGGGGGTGTTCATTTGTGAGGTGCACAGAAGTATTTTAAGGCAAAGTCCGAATCTTAACCTGCGTGTTGAATTAAAAATTTTGTTTTATTGGTCAAGATTTTTATTTTGAAATGCTCCGAAGAACTGCAAAAACAATACAAACACTTCCCGTACGCCCTTCATCCCGATACCCCAAATTTAACATTTTACTTTCAACCATTTGAGAGTACGTTGCTTACATGATGGGAGCCCTAAATATTTTGGCGTGTACTACTAAGATATTCTCTTTCATAACCACGCCACAATTATTGAAAGCAAAAAACCAACAGTACTAATATCTAATCTGCAGAACTAGTCAAATTTCGCCCGTTTTCCCCTTAACATCTTTTACAGTAAAAGAGAGAATTTTATGAGGAAAAAGCCTGAGTTTTATTTTTTTTTCTGCTCCAGGATCCAATCCACGAGCACACATTGCAGTTAGTTATTATGACTCGTTAAATACCCCATTAATTCCCTCAATCTTGAATACTTCATCTTTTGTCTTTCACGACCTTGAAATTATTGCATCGCACGGGCCGTTTATTTTTACCGAATAAACGTTTCATACAACCTGTTTAGGGCTTACGTAGTTCACGATTTAAAAATCGAGATGCAACTCTGCGAGAAAAAAAAAACCCCAGCCCAGAAACAGTACATACACTGCAAACACGGGTTAGCAATTAAATCAGTAAAACAAGGCGATTTATGGAGATATTCATTGACATGTTTAAAAAATTAGCTTTTTTTAACATGATGACGCAAACAAAACAGTACCGAAACCGAAAACAAATGTAACATGGAAGGCCCCTCCCGTGCCAATCACCTGCACCTTCTCCGGTCCTGGCAAGGAGGCCTCCGCCAGCGGCAAAAACCTCGCCGCGTCACAGACTTTGCTCATCCGAAGACGCCATTTTCTGCTTCAGCGGCACCACCTCCCGCGCGGGCAGTCTCGCTCGCCTCAGGCCACGCCCCCCGTCGGCGTCAC